ACGACGACGCTCGAAAGACCTAGAGTCTTGCGCGTCTTAGGAAGGGGCTAACATTATTATTACGCACAATTGGCTTACTGAAAAATAATTCCCGTTCAAAAATCCATTGTTTTTTTTTCAGTGTATGTTTAATTTTTATTTTGGTCATATAGTGTGTTTAAAGTTTAACTGAATCACCTCGTATAGTTGTTTTGTTTCCTATTCATCAGTAATCACGATACCAGTTCTGATAAAAAAGCAGCAAAATTTTTTCGGCGAAAACAGACCATCGTTCACTCCAGCGCGAATTATACTTATTGTGAGAATCGTGCCTTTGTTTACCATGATTGGCAGTTTTCACCACAGGCTGCACCGTCATTCTTCAATTCTCAACTCAACGCGATCGAATACGTTAAAATATTATATCGTTCTCATCGATATAAAATTACAATAGGTACTATATACCTACAGTTTTTAATTTTTTTTTTCAGTCAACCCCTTTTGCGATTTGTGTCTAAGCCATTTTCGTTTACTGACAAGTGAAAATTAGCCGGTATTATCCTATTACCATGTCGTATTTTAAATGAACTTGGTACTATAAAAATCTAAGCAAAAAATATTATAGACATTGTTTCATATTTGTACGTGTTTCGACTATACAATTCACCCTAAATGTTATCTTTAACTTCAGCATTTAATAGATGTATAGATTATTTTAAATGGTTTCCCGGTGCTCATTTTATCAACCGACGAAAAAAACGGAGGAGGTTCAGTATTATTTTTTTAACATAACTTTTTACAGAGTAGTCAGATTTTGATACCTTTTCATTGGAAAAGATGTACTCCAATGTTGGTTCCATATAAAGGACAATGTTAAAATTGGCCTAAGAACCAACACCAATTTGGCATTTATGATAATTCTTGGTTGGTTATTTTTTTTTTTGCTAAAAAGTTTTTATTTTAAGCTATTCACCTGCCTTCGCTTCGCTTTGGCTTAGACTTCCACTTTAGATTTTTCGGTTTTATATTTTAGGTTTACACCTTCAAGAAACGAAAACCGCATGAAAGTCCTCACGAACATACAAACAGGCAGTCGCGGTGGGGGATTCATTTTTATGTGTAGTGATGAAAATATAATCTCTAACATGAGTATCTACTACAAAAACTTGCAAGGTATTTTTCAATTAGAAAAAATTCATGAACCGTTACAAGCTCCTGTGATTTTAAAGATTGCTTCGTGAGAAAATGTAATTAGGTTCACAAAGAGGGCGAAGCGATGCATATTTGAGGAGTGGTTTATTTAACGGACAGTGAATTAGCGGTGAAATGACGTGAATAAATTATGAATGAGCCAGTTGGCAAGGATCGTTAAGATCACAGCGACGACCATGCCGCGAATCACAGTCGCAACAGGCGGCCATTAACAAAATATTTCTTAGGTGTCTTATTAAATTAAAGATTATCATTATCACATAGCAGCTGATTTCAAGATTTTGATAACTTTTTCAAATATATAAGAGGTTCCTAGGTATTTGATTTTTGCAAACATTTATTTAGGTAATATAAATAGTTTTTTAGTTAAATTGCTAGGTTTTTATACAATTTTTACCAACGATGCCGTAGGCGTGCCAGACGAGCGCCCGGCGAAGAGGAGGTCCTCCGCCGGGCGTATAACGAGGGCCACACGGCCCTGCGTATTGCCATCTGCAGGGCCAAGGTCGCTGCCTGGGATGAGTTTCTGGCCATCCTGGACAGCGACCCCTGACCCTGGGGGAGGCCGTACCGGACGATGAGGGGGAAGTTCACTTCGGCGGCCCCCTCCACGTCCGATATGGAGCCCGCTCTGCTAAGAAGGGTGCTGGGGACACTTTTCCCAGACCCCGGGCCCTTCGAACCCCCCAGGATGCCCTCCGGTTCTGCTCCGGGGGCGTGGGCTGCTGGCCCCCCCGTGTCTGATGCAGAACTCGACACGGTGAGAGACCGGCTCCGGAGCCGCAATAAAGCTCCGGGGCCGAAATGAGCCCCGGCCAAGGTAATGGCTATTGCCTTGAACCCCCTGGGAGAGCGATTCCGCGCGGTGCTGGATGCATGCATCGCGACGGGTCGCTTTCCCAGGCGCTGGAGAGTGGAGCGGCTCTGCCTTCTCCGCAAGGAAGGCCGCCCGGCGGACTCCCCAGCGGGCTACTGGCCGGTGGAGTTGCTCGATGAGTCCGGGAAAGCTTTTGAGAATATTCTCGCCTCCCGGATCATCGAGCACATCGAGGGTGAGGGGCCGGACCTGGCGGAATGCCAGTACGGCTTCCGATCCGACCGGTCCACGATGGACGCGGTTGGCCGTCTCAAGAGGTGGACTGAGGCGGCCACAGCACGGGGGGAGGTGGTGATCGCGGTGTCCTTGGACATCGCGAACGCGTTCAACACCATCCCCCACGAGTGCATAGAGGCGGCGCTCGAGTTCCACCGAGTGCCACTCTACCTCCGCATCCTCGTCCGGGACTACCTGCGAGACAGGTCGGTCCTGTACGAGGATGCGGAGGGCCGCGTCCAGTCGTGGCCAGTGAAGGCAGGCGTACCCCAGGGTTCCGTATTAGGTCCCCTCCTATGGAATCTGGGGTACAACTGGGTCCTGCGGGGTGAGCTCCTGCCGCGCATGGATGTCGTCTGTTTTGCGGACGACACCCTTGTAGCGGCGAAAGCGAAGAAGTGGGAGGAGGCGGTCCACCTTGCGTCGGTCGGCACCTCCATGGTCGTCCGACGCATCCGCCTCCTGGGACTGGAAGTGGCCCTCGAAAAGACGAGGGCCATGGCCTTCCACGGTCCCAGATGCAGGACCCCGCCGGAGCTCCGTGCCCGGGTAGAGGGGGTGTGGGCTCCGGTCGAGATGCATCATAGGTATCTCGGCCTGACCCTAGACCCCCGATGGAGCTGGGAGGAGCACTTCAGGCTCCTCGCTCCCCGGCTGTGCGGCGTCGCAGCCGGACTCGGTCGCCTCCTCCCCAATGTGGGGGGGCCAAAGGCGAAGTGCCGTCGGCTTTATCACTCCGTGATAAAGTCGATGGCGCTGTACGGGGCCCCGGTCTGGGCGGAGTGCCTCTCGTCCCGCACGAGGGCCCTCCTGCGAAGACCGCAGAGGGTCATAGTGACCCGGGCCGGGCTGCCTGCGTCCTAGCAGGCACGCTCCCGTGGGAGATTGATACCCTGGTACTGTCCCAGGTGCATGAACACCGGGTCGCGGCGAGAGAGCGGGGCGAGCGACCCGTTCTAGAGGAGATAGAACGGGTCCGCACCGAGGCGCAGAGGGAGGCTCTGCGCCGATGGGTGGAGGCACTCGCCAACCCAGCTGCTGGCCACTGGACGATCGAGGCGATTCGTCCGGTGTTGGAGGAGTGGGTAGGGCGCCAGCGGGGCACCCTCACCTACCGCCTGGTGCAGGTACTGACCGGGCATGGGTGCTTCGGTCACTACCTGCACCGAGTCGCCCGTCGGGAGGAGACGCCGCGGTGTCATCACTGCGCCTCTCCCGACGACACGGCCGAGCACACGTTGATCGTGTGCCCGGCCTGGCGAAATGAGCGCCGCGATCTGATCACGGCGCTCGGCGGAGGAGGCCTCACGCTGCCAAGTATGGTAAGAGCCATGCTTGGTAGCGAGAGAGCCTGGAGGGTGTCCGCCGCAGCGGAGAGGGAGCGGGAGGAGGACGCTCTAGCCGCCCCTCTCCGGCGTAGACGGGTGGGCCGAAGAAGGCAGGCAGCGGTGACTGCCGGTCTTCGACGGCCCTAAGGTGGTCTGGGCGCGGCCTGACCAGCCGTGCGTCCTAGGTGCCGCTGCAGCATAGGCCACCACGTCTGGGGACTGCCTAGTACCTTAGCGCAGTCCCCCTGAGGCGCGTCGCCCGGTCCACTCGTTGGGCCGGGCCTGCCCGGGGGCGTGCTCGGAGATGTGGCGCACGCAGGTGCGTCGGCCCCGAGACCGCCCCCATATGGGCGTAGGAGGGTACCGGGGGGTTTTAGTGGAGTAGGATCAGTGTGACCTTCCGCACTGGTCCTGCTTGAGTAGGCTCGGCACTGTTTCCCGTGCCAGCGAGTCCCACACACGCCGTGCGCCTAGTCAGCATCACGGTATCGTGCGTAACTGCATTTCCCCTCGTCACAAAAAAAACAAAGGTTTTTATACAATTTGGAATTGTATGTAACAATTATATGGCTAATTATTATGGGTGTTTAGTTGCAAAAAACATTATAGGAACACTTATCGCTTAGAGCCAAGCTACTAGGATAATTTCTTTAAGGAACCTGGCGCACTAAACGATCACGACCAGCGGCCGCAACGACCAGATTAAAATAAAGTTGGCCGTTGCGGCCAAGTGGCTGCCTTGTGCGTGAGGTGCCTTAGTAGAGGTATAACTTACTTTAGGTACATACTATCGCAATCAACTAAACTGCTAGTGACATGATTTCAAAATTATTTGCATTTTTAAATCTTATGTATTAGTAATAAAATTATTATATATTCATATTTATTTAAAAAAGCTACAGAACAATAATAACGAATCTTTATTCTTCCTTTTTTATAGATTACCAACTATTATAACAGTTCTACGTACAGTACAGCAATGACTAGACTTAACTAGTAAAGTGAATTATGAGTTTAAGCCAATTATTCCAGTCTTCAATCTTAGGTAATACGATTTCCCCTTAAAACTTCTATAATGACTGGAATTAACTCTCTAAAACTTCTAAGAACCACAAATTCGGTATTACTAGATCGTGAAGACAAAGACAAATTTTTGAAAACAAGTGCTGCCAAAGTTGAAAAGATCTTAAGTAATCGGTGCTTTGAAATCTTGGTCTCTTAAAGCTCATATAGTAAGCTTATTTATTTCAAACATTTCTTACACTGCAATGCTTTGCCCTTCCTTACATTGCGCGAGGACACCAGCGCCTCCTCGACTCGGGTGGTGGCGCCTGCGGGCACGCTGGGACGGCGGCATATATCTGATGTTCGTGATGACAGTGACTCACCATTCACTGGGACGTAAATGTTGACATAGAGGCAGTCCTCGCTCTGGTTGGCAAGCACCGGCAGCAGTCGCTCAAGTTGTCTCAGGCGCGCTCGCGGGTGTACTAGCAGCGCCTCCTCGCGCGGAGACGCGGGCGGCGGAGCCTGCGGGCACGCCGGCCCCGGCGCGTCGGCCAACCGCGGCGTCCGCCACTGGGACGGCGTCACCGGCGGCATGTATCTGATAGTCGTAATAATTTCAATTCACATTCTTTTAGGACTTTACGTTGAACTTTTTGTGTTAGATTTTAAAACGTATATTTGAATGCTCTACTTCATACATTATTCACAAACAGTGGGAACGGATCGTATCTTCGATTTTTATGTATTTTTTACTATCAGTCCCCAAATTAGAACCTTGCCTTTAGAATGAAAAGACAAAAAAAGGATAATCCTATTTTGATTAGGTATGTTTATTGAAGCATCAAACTGCGAGATTGTTTTATGTAAAGGAATTATCAAATAAATAAAATGAACGTAGCGATATCTGAGCCGTTCGATTGCAGGTTGAAACCTTAGACTATATTGTTTTTTTCTGTGTAGCTTTTTTAGATGCAAAAAAATCTAATACGGTAGGTACAGTTTTACCTACCTAAGACTACCAAGAGGTGGCGTAGCATACGGTACGCCAAGGTAGGCCTCGACCTGCGGGTGCGAGTGGACGACGATGCCCCGCAGCGGGCCGTACTTGGTGCGCACCACCCGCGTGCTGTACTTGTGCGAGGAAAGCGCGGCCGCGCAGCAGACGAGCCACGCGGAGAGCGCGGCGCGCCCCGCGCGCATCACGCGCACAGCGCGAGCGCGGGCGCCCCCGTCGCGCCGCCGAGCTCGCGCGCGCTCCTGCGCATCACGCGGCCCGGCGAGCGCCTGCGCGCGCACCCACGCGCCTCCGCGACATCCTCACACGCCCTTCTCGCGCGCACGCGCCCACTGTCATCATACGCACCTATTTTTCACACCCACACGTTTACAAGCAATTTTAAACTTCACAAACTCTATCCACGTTTTTCATTAATTATACGACTCACCCGAATCATGATTCGGCCGCTCTAAGTTTACGCCGTGCCAAATCAACCATTGGCTCGACCTGGAACAACGAAACATAATTTTTATTTTTACGCAAAAATAAACGGTGTAATTTGTTTGTTTAGTTCCTACGCGGACTGCACGACGGCCGGGTAATTTTCATAAATTTCCTTTTTAATCAAATATGAACGCTTAAGCAAGAGACAATACAATGGGAAACAGAAAATGTTTACCTACTAGACCTAACCCAACATTCGCATAATTTAATGTTGCGCAAACACGACAACAACCTTGCTTTCAAAAGCAAGCTTAGGTTGTGGAACCGTAGGTATGAAATCCATTAACTTAATCTAGGTACTTAGGTGGTAACTATGGTCAGTATTCGAAACTATTTCAATCATAGCTGTGCACTTCTCTTAAAAACTCTATTTAGGTATGTTATAATGTAATTCTCTTTATCTTTTACTTGTTTAAAAAAAACCTATACCATAAAACGGAAGCCATGTGATCTACCAAGCCCACACTCCGTTCCCCAGCGACAATATTTGAGGGCTGTCAGTAATATTAAACGGATTTCTGTCATCAACATCGGCGCAATTGAGGCGCATTGGGTTGCGCAAGCAGTTCACAAAGAAAGCAAAGGGCGTCATCAATCACCCAGTGACGGACGCGGGCTTTGTGTGCCCGCATTTAACGTGGACCTTGATATTGTCGCGTCACTGACCTTTCAGAAACCTATATAGGTACATTTCACCAAAGTATTATCTATAGTCATTTTATAAAAGGCTCCGGTTGTAAAGAAAGAAAAATGTAAAACAAAGGATAAAACAGTTCAACATCAATGTATTTTTTTATAATTTAGCTATTTAATTGAGATTGAGTTATTTACATTATTTTTATATGTTTAACACATTGGTTTGAAGCAGTTTGGCTAGCTACTTCGCAGGCATTAACTTTTGAATTTAAAAAATCCCATGGAAATTCTATACCTACCCCCCTAGCATGAGCACCGCGATATGATATATATACGTACAGCTCGTTTTTATCACGCTCAATTTGTCAAATTACTATAGAACTTGACAGTTAGACGCGATATAAAACGTTTTGCATTACATAAATGCAAATTGTGGTTTGCAGAATGGACAGTGAAGTGCTTTTCTGGAGAGCTATAGTATTTTATCAAACACACAGCATGATTTCCAGTGGGGTTGCAGTACAGCACCGGCACTGTCGAAGTTTACTGAAATGTAAACGAGAGACTGGACAGGTGGGAGCAGGTGGTGGTGATCTACATTGACTTTAAAAAAGCTTTTGATACCCTGGATCACCACCAGCTGCTTGCCATGCTTGCTTTTTCATGAATCAATGCGGAGTTCGGGGGCCTTTAAATCACTGGTTCCGAGCCTACATAGAAGGTAGGTCGCTGCAAATTATAATTGACATTGACGAGGAGAGAGTATATGCTGTAAAAGATTTAGAAGTTAGAAAATAGGTTACAAACAAGCTGGTAACATAGACCTTTAAGTCATAACTTTATTCTTTTAATATGTATATTTAACTATCAAACAAATAGTAAGATATTTATAACTGAAAAAGGTTGCAAATAGATTTAACGAATATAATAAAGTGGGCACATAACAATGGCATTATAATTAACGTAAGTAAAACTAAACGTATGCACATATTTTCCCTCTATTCGAAAAATGGTAATCGGGCACCGCATGTAGTGGGCCATACTTACGAATGTCTGCATAATAATAAAGAAACTTGTGATTGTACATGTGTTGTGGTGGTGGAAGAGTATAAGTAGTACTTGTAAAGTTTAAGCATCTTGGCTATGTGCTGGATAGGCCAGCGTTGTATATTATTTACTAAGCGCTGGTAGATTCTTTGCTTTATTATGAACTGGCCACCTACTGGTGTACGTTTAAAACATATTTGGAAAAGATTAAAATGATGCAAATAATTAACTATGATTGTACAACCCTGTACCGATTGAGGGTTGATTGACAGGGAGTTTCTTAAATCAAAAAAACTGGCACCCTGTTTCCACAGATCGCTGTGGCCCAATTTATTTGCAATTTTGAACCTTATTTATATAACATAAGTATTTACATAAAATAATTTCTACAGCGCGATTTAGAAAATATACCCGAACATTTGACACATTTTATTAGCACCATCTTTCGTAATCAAATGGTACTAAATACATATCAAAACCGAAATAAACATTGTTTAAGGTTGAGCAATGATCAATTATTTATAAGAGTATAAAACAAAATACCGGTCCATGAAAATGTAGTGTTGCTAATAGCGCTCGAAGTTAGCTAGAGTTGCTATAGTGATGAGTTTAAATAACCTCCATTTCTTAAATGATGATAGATGATATGATTAGCAAATCACATAGAACTTGTAAAAAAACAAAGGGCAAATGATATTAATAACAACCATATGCAAATGTAAGGCAATGATAACCAAGTTTGGACGTAAAGCGGTGCACACCCCCACGCCTTCAACGCTGTTTGAGGTCGAGTTCTGCAACATACGCGGACTCCACTCTAACCTCAACGCTGTCCACCACCATCTCGAGACAGCACGGCCAGCATTGTTGTTCCTGACGGAGACACAAATACTTCCGCCTGCTGACACAGGCTACCTTAATTATCCCGGCTACGTGCTTGAAGAGTCCTTCAAAGCGAAAGCCGGTGTATGCCTGTATGTTCGGGCGGATGTTTGTTGTCGCCGTCTCCGCTGCTTGGAAGATCCCTCCTTCTCCATGCTGGGGGTGCACGTCGACTCTGGCCCCCAGGCCAGAGTCTACGTGTGCATCTACAGATCCCACACCGGCGATGTTGAGACAACTCGACTTTTTGAACACCTTAGTCGGGCAGCAGATGACGCGCAGGAGCGATTTCCCAATGCAGAATTGGTGTTTTTGGGGGACTTTAATGCTCACCACAATTTGTGGTTAAGTTCTTCCAAAACTGACCATGCAGGGATCTCTGCTCACACATTCGCTCTCACGCATGACTTGAAGCAACTGGTTGATCAGCCCACCAGGATCCCAGATATTCCAAGTCAAGCGCCTTCTTTACTGGACCTTCTGCTCACGACCCATCCACAGGGCTATCAGGTTGTGGTAAGAGCCCCCCTGGGCTCGTCCGACCACTGCCTGATATCTGCCAAAGCACCACAGGCCAAGCCTCCGCGTCCAGCAGTGGTCAAGCGCCGTATCTGGCATTATGGGTCGGCAGATTGGGACGGTATGCGTGATTACTTTGCGTCCGTCCCTTGGAAGCAGCGCTGCTTCAGTGACAGGGACCTATCGGGCAGTGCCGTTGCCATTACTGAGGAGATCATAATGGGTATGGAATACTATATTCCGCGTAAGCAAGCGGCATATCGTGCTTGGATCAGAGGCCGCGCTCTCAAGGATCCCGGGGTCGATTCACTCAAAGCAGCCTACAATTCTGCTTCCAAGGCCTGTAAGAAGGCTTACATCAGAGCGGATGCCCAGCGTGTTGCACGTGTTGGCCAGGAACTTATAACGCATCCTGCGGGCTCCCGTAGCTACTGGCGTTTGGCCAAGGCCGTGCAAAAAAACTTCTGCCAGCCCTCGCTGCCACCTCTGATATGCCCAGACGGAACACTAGCTCATAAGCCGCAGGAGAAAGCCGATTTACTGGCAAAACTCTTTGCGGCTAACTCCCGAATCGATGATTGCAATGCACTGCCACCATCATTACCTCACTGTGGCACAACGATGCCTGATATTAAAATCAGGCAGCGTGAGGTTCGTGCCGAATTGCAATCACTCGACGTCCGGAAAGCTAGTGGACCTGATGGCATCCCAGCAGTAGTACTTAAAAAATGTGCAGCGGAGTTGTCTCCCGTGCTCACGCGCTTGTACCAATGCTCGTATTCTTTGGGGCGTGTGCCGGAGACTTGGAGAGATGCTAACGTGTAACCGGTGCCCAAAAAAGGGGATCGCTCAGACCCGGCAAACTATCGGCCAATAGCAGTCACCTCAGTTTTATGTAAAGTTCTAGAAAAGGTCCTTAATAACCATCTGACCCGCTACCTAGAGGATCACTCCCTGATTAATGATCGTCAATATGGATTTAGACCGAAACGATCGACGGGTGATCTTCTAGCGTACTTAACTCATATCTGGGGTGAGGCTATCGACAAGCGTGGCGAGTCGTTGGCTATCAGCCTTGACATTGCCAAGGCGTTCGACAGGGTCTGGCACAAAAGCCTTCTCTCCAAGCTTCCGGCATACGGTCTGCCAGCCCAGTTCTGTTCTTGGGTAGCTGACTTCCTGCATGAGCGTAGAATTCGTGTCCTTACGGATGGTAGCAGTTCGCGGTTCATGTCAGTGAATGCCGGCGTTCCCCAGGGCTCCGTCCTATCCCCCACTCTCTTTCTGCTGCATATCAATGACTTGATTCCTCTTGGAAATATTCATTGCTATGCAGACGATAGTACAGTGCATGCGGGGTATCTCGGACAAGCAGCGGCTGGGCAGGCAGTAACCAGGGAGAAACGAGAAAATCTTGTCATTGAACTCAATCAGGCTTTGGACCACATTTCCGAATGGGGTACCAGGAACTTGGTTGGGTTCAATGCCAAGAAAACTCAGGCTTGCGCTTTCACGGCAAAAACATCGCCATTCCTCCCCCTTCCATCTCTTCAGGGCACAACACTACCGTTGCAGAGCAACATTTCCATGCTCGGTATGGAAGTTCGCTCAGACC